GATAAGGTTTATGGCTGGTGTTAAGATGAGGATCAACGTTTTTGTCATGGGTAGGGTAAAGATCTGAGCAGAGCAAGAGATTCAGATCTGGGTTAGGGCTAATGTCAGATTCAAGGTCAGAGCTGGTGTTAAGGCTGGAGTCACTTTCAAACTGTGACGAGGATTAGGATAAATGTGTAGGGTGGATCTGAAGACAGCAATGGCTAAAGTGAAATAAAAATGGAGGCCTGTCTTAGCCCCTGAAATTTCCAGTGCCATACCTAATAATTTATTTATTTATTATTTCAAAAGGTGCAAGGGCAGCAAACGTTGTCTTGTTGTTCCACTGTGCAGCCAGAGTAGCAAACAGGCGAAGGCTGCTTGTCTTAACTATCTGTGTCTTCCAGAGAAGAGCACGGCAGTCTGTAAACAATCTCGACCCCTTATGAGATCATACAGCAATTTGCACTCTCTGATGCCTGTGCGTTTTTATAACCTCTGACAATTCATTTCACTCTGCATGCTCCTCTAACAGAAATCCCGTTGTTTGATTTATAGATTTATGATTGGGAGGTTCCAAAGCTGAATTAGGTTTTTTCTTCAGAGGTTTAAAGCCATCAGTTTTCATTTGCTTGATGCACTCACTATCTCTACAGAGCTTCCTCAGAGAGCAAGCAGGGTATCCTGGTTGGGTTTCATCAGAGTGGATTCATTTGGCTCATTTAAATGAAGCCCCAGAGAAACCACAGCTCTCTTGTAGGCAACTGCAGGTTAACAGAGAGATAAAAACAATTGGTCCCTTGTAAAGCACACCTATACAAAGTGATATCTTAGTGCTGTGTTAACCATTTCACATGATCTCACAGTTATTTTGCATCTGTGTTAACCTTTTACTTTGTTAACGGTTTTAACTGTTTATTTTTTGTGAACTAAAAATAAAACATGTGCGTGGTGTGTTCACATTATGGGAGGTGTTTACAGTAGTGTTTGTAGGGTGGTTTGCAAACTGATGGAACACAAACTTCTTTTACTGCTTTGTTACAGATTAAGGTAAAGAAAGTTACAGGATTCGTGCCTTTTTACAAGTAATAGTGATAAATTCTTCAGTCTCTCAGTAGCTCACATTACTAAGCTCAGTTGTCTTGTGCTGCTGTGTGCACAAGAAGACATGTTTGTGGGAGGTAGCTGGCTTATGTTCCAGGAACACACACTTGCAGATATTGGCTTTAGCATGAGTGAGGAAATCAGTGTGGTTTGACTAGTCATGTGGATCCTTTTGAAGAGAAGCCACAGATCGTAGTCAAAGTCTGTCTTTCTTAGGTTAAATAGCTTAGCCTCCTCCACTGACAACATTAGCATGATGCAAAGAGAAGCTGGTCAAATCAATAAGACTGGAAGATTCCTGCCGATCTTTAGCTCTTCTTGGAGTGAGATCACTGTGCTGAGGCTGAATAACAGCAATTAACACTACTAATAATAACAACCAATCCAATGATTTATCAATATAACAGAAACGTTTATCCTTAAATAATGTAAAACAGCACTTTGCATTCAACTTCATGAAAACTGTTTTTATCAGGGTTTCAAGCACCAGATCTTAACAGAAAATAACAAAACCTTATCCAGCTGTGCATAACTTTCTCTATTAAAGCGGTATAGATCATAGACAATAATGCAAAAAAAATTCAATAGTTTTCTTATTCGTGTTGCAAAAAACACAAAGGCAGGCAGTGAGAATTGGATTTACTGTAATGAATATACTTTACTGAATAAGGTTTAGTTGGAATTTGACACCTGCTTCCTTCTTTTGAATTGGTTTGGACTGCTGGTGGGTAGATGTTAAACACCAGAGCTTGTTCAAGTTTCACAGTGTCAGGCTGCCAGGAAGAGAGGATCGTGCACTCAGCAAATGCAGCGTTGTGCACAGTTTCAAGGGACTGAAAGATAAGATGAAGGTGTGAAATTTCTCTGCATCTCCTGAGCTTTGTTTCCCACAGACCAGTATTCTGTATATGAGAAAAAAAGTAATTGAGAGGATTCCCTGGTGTTTTTCAACAACAAAAATACCTAGAGAGAAGAAGGTGACAAAAGGACACAAAAGGTGCTCAAATTAAATTTTTCATGCCCTTAAAAGGAGAGATGAAATTGGGGTGCCTTGCTCTTTTCCACACGTTAATGTCTTGTGCAGCTTGCTGAAATCTTATTTCTTCCAGTAGCGTGCTTTTAAATTATATACAGATATTCTGTTATAATAGACATGTTATTTAGAACGTATACCACACAGTATGTGTTATGTGTGTAGCCCTGCTCTGCTCACAGGTCACTCACAGGCTCAGAGTGGACACAGCACTGCACCCTAGACAGTGGCAAACTCCTCTAGTCTATAGCCCAGGTTTTTTGCTGCAACGGACTTCGACCCCATCTTTTGAGAAGTTGCCATCACATCTATATCATGCCCACTGCGCTGAGCGTTGTCACAGTACATGTACTGTATATAATGACATAGTCCACATGCACTTACCCAGATATTTCCATCCTGGTGGTAAGGCTTCCAGTTTGTTCCCGTGTCGCTGTATAGCAGCCGGTATCGGGTCACCCAATCAGAGCTGCTGTATCTTCCCTGCGTTGCTACGGCTGTCACTTGCTTCCGGATCCCCAGGTCCACCTGAAGCCACTGGTAATGGTCACTGTCGAGTGGTGACCAGCCTCCTGAACCTGAAAAAAATAGTCATGTATCACATTTACTTTTCAGGAAGCAAATACAGATTTAATTTAATTTCAAATTGCCAGGTTTTGCATACTATTTATATATATTTTAAATTTAAATATAAAGCCACCCAATTTGGAATCGCCAATGGTGGTTTTAAGTCTGGGCTCATGGCCATAACTCCTTTAAACAAACACCTGGGGACCAACGACCAATGACCTCCTCCCTTTTCCCCATTGAGTCATCCATCAGTTGACACATAGCAACAAGCTCTACTAGGACTTATAGGACTTATGACCTCAGATCTCAACCTGACCAACTTTCACCCCCTCCAGGTTAGGATTTTCAGACAGAAATATGGTGTTGCTGTCAGGCATGGTTGATTCATGTTGTTGCTGCTTCACTACGAAAGTACGAAGTACGAAAGTACTCCCACAAGCATTTCAGCCCTTCTAGTTTCTTAGTTGTTAGTTTCTTAGCTTGCGTTTGTCATTATGTTTATAAAGAGGTACTGTACATACTGTACAGTGCCATAAAAAACTACACAAATAGGACAACTTTCTATTATAGATAAAAACCTTAACTGGAAAGGCAATTACTTTATAAAAGCAATAACATGCCTTCCACTCAATTTATCACCATTCATTTAATGCTTTATAAAATGGATTTTCTTCTACAACAATGACAGTACAGTATGTCTAGTTTAAATATAATGTTAATCCGACAAACCGCTAGAAAGTTAATCCAATGACTCAAAATTGCTTTTATTCTTTATGAATCTCTTTCAGATGTCTTGAAATATCATGCCAGCAGGAAATGTTCCCTGTACAAAGACCCCATGATGCACTACTGTATGTCATTTATTATCAGAAATCCCTGTGGGGATGCAGGAATATACACTGGATGGGAGGTTATTGCATTGCTGGGTGGGCACACACACACAGGAATGATTTAGAAATACCAATGAGACCAATTACCAATCTTTGGAAATGGTAGAAAGCACAGGCAGCCCACAAACTCCACACATAAGTCTCCCCAATCGAGTATTGAACACAGGTCTCTGAAGAGCTCTCAGGCAGAAAAGCTAACCAGTGCATCGCCTGGAAGACCACCTACTTAAATTAAAGAAGAGGGAACTTTCTTGGATATTTATCTAATTGTTTCGTGGCAAAATGAGATGGCACAAACACACTGCCTCTGTAAAACTCCCTGTGCATTGCTTAGCAGGCATTAGAGAGAAGACCTTATAACAGACTTGAGTAGATGTTGACTAATGAATTGTTTTCAGTATTGTTATTTTGCATGATGAAGGGACTAAAAAATGCCACATGGGATATTCAGCTGGCTCTTTCCCATTACCCAACACAGAAAAGTAAGTGATACTGAGTGATTAGGAACTGCATTGCCACCAGAACAATCCAATATCTAATCCCATTACATGGCCATTAATCGCAACTATAGTCCAACTAGATAAACACAGAATATCATTGAAAAATCAATGCTTTTAAATCTGAGCTTAAAAAGAGCTCAAGGTATGTAACAGCATCTGGACGAGGAGCTGTGCATGTGTTGGACTGTGAGCGCTGATAACACTGAAGAGGAAAAGATAAAAAATGTGTTAAAGTGAACTGCTGCCGCCTGCTAAACCCACAGGGACACTGGAAACTTCGCAGCATTAGGGCAGAATGAGAAGGACAACAGATTGGGGCAGCCAGTGAGGATGGCAAAATTAAACATGTGCGGTGAGGAGCCTGGAGACTTCCAGTGCAACCTGCCATCCAGGCAGATGTTTGCTGGAGATAAGCAGAACAGAGGAAGGTCAAGGAAAGGATAAAGTAAATCAGCTTGCTTGCTGAGCCGGGGCGAGGCACTAAAGAGAAGAGGGCTTGGTAAGTACCGTGTTTACCCGGTTCAGGACAAAAGACCTTAACAGCAGCAGACCATTTCTCTATCACTGCCTGCTCTATCACACCTCGATCTCTAATGAAGTAATGCGACAGATAATGTGTAATGACATAATGTGGTCTCAAAACAACTTCAATAATATGTAATAAAATGAAACTCACTGGCCCCAACATGACAAAATGCCACCAAATACATCTTGATCCTGAATTGATTGGACTCCTTTTCTCTTCATATTGATCGCAGAAAGCACAAGACCCTGTTGATTGAAGGAATTTCATCCTCTGGTAGAGGGTAGTACTCTATCTGTGCTACAGATTTTAGGATCCTTGTCAATTGAACAGGAGGTTCCTTAACACAAAGGAATGTGGGAGTCTGGAAAAAGCTAATCAGCTACATACATTAAAGCCAGGGTCCAAGGATCAATAAGCTACTAGCAACAACAGTCTCTCGATTGTTAAAAAAAGTGTAAAACAAAAAATGCAGACAGCACATCAAGACAATATACAAACAAACAGTAGACAATGTACAAGTAAACAAGTAAACAGTTTGAATGTAAACAAAGCAGACGTGTAGACAATGACTGCAGATGTGCAATAAATAAAATTACAATGAGGTACTGTAGATGTGTGGGTGTGGTCCGAGGGGCATGGCTAAATGTGTTCACCAATCACACTGCTTGTGGGTAGAAGCTATTGAGGAATCTGGTGTTAAGTGTCCGGATGCTTTTGTATCTCTTTCCTGAGGGCAGTGAGGTGAAGAGCTCATGCCCGGGGTGGTGACTGTCCTCTGTGATGGCCAGAATTCTATCACGGCAGCGGTCCTCATAGAGCTGTTTAATCCCGGCGAGACAACAGCCGATGATCTTTTGGGCCACATTCACCATTCTCTGCAGTGTCTTTCTCACTCGAGAAGAGGTGTTGCTGTACCACACAGTGATCCCATTGGTGAGGACGCGCTTGATGGTGCAGGGGGGTGAAACAGTATGGTGTGGTTTGATGTCCTGAAGAAATACATAGCAACTATACATCAGATGACCTTTGTAAATATACAGTAGATTCAGAAGCCAGCTCCCACCTCCCATGACCTTCATTTCAATCTTTTCTTTTATTTACCACCTTCTCTAAAGCCCATCTTGGCTTGCCTCTGAAGCTGAACATGAAGACAGTTACTACTTAAAAGGTAAGTATATCTGTAAGATTTTTTTTTTAAATCAATCAGAGTGGCTGTCCTTGGTCATGTAATTCATATGCAGCATCCATGATCAGTGCACAGATTATTAATATGTGCTTTTAGAAGTCAAATGCAATGAATTAAATTCATTTTAGTTTTTGACTCTTCGTCCCATGTTTTTTAACAGATCTCTTTTGGGCTTAGTAACATTCAGCTTGCAAACAATATTTCTCCCTTTTAGACTGTTAGACTGTAAACGTTTAGGAACAAGCTGCATGTTGGGATTTGTCACGGTGGGTTGTTACAGAAGGTTTCACATTATTCTGTGAGGATCCTGGAGATCCTAGTATACCATTTTATGCAAGAGTTCTGGTACTGAGCTTCCCAGGCAATAGGTTTTACTTACAATAACAGAAAACACGACAGGATGCTTCATTTCCAAGTTTCGAAGCAATGCCTTTGCCCTTGCATTTAATGATAATTTTGTGAGAAAGAGACAAAACATTTTCCCTTAATAGTAGTTCACAAAAGATATCTTTCAGCAGACAGAGGTTTCAAAGTTAAAAGCGAACTCCCCAAATAAAAAAGCTAAATTCTCTGCTGACAGGTTTGGCAGCTTCCTATGCGAAATATGGTTTCTTATGTCACTTTGCACCATGTCCTAGGAATTAAGTGATTGTACCTTTCTTTTTTCATTTGTAACCTTTACAATGTATCCTGCAAACTGTGGAGCAGACTAATTAGGATTGAAACTCAAATCTCAATCAGACCTAATGCCAGGAAAAGACATGACATGTAACGGCTCACGTATTTTACATGGCTTAAGTAGATTATCCTGTATACTTGCAAGAGGCACCAGTCTGCACCACAGCCTCCAGCACCTGCAAAATCAACTTCGCCTTTCGGTTTTGCAAATGGGCAAAACACACACACTCACTGGGGGAGTCTCCATCAATTCAGAACCTTAGAGCAGAATGAATACTGGAAAAAAAGACAGCAACGAATAATGGACTCCAGGGCTCATTTTCCTACATGCTGATTATTCATATTCAAGGCCGGTGCATGCCTGGATTTCAAAGTTTAAATTGTTACGGAAGAAAACTCATCTTCCAAGCTGCCTGCATTTCTTCTGCTATAGCCAGCTTCAATCCCCTCAATTGGTTTTCACCCCTCGCTCCCATTAGCTTCCCACTGACTTTCCATCTCTTTCTGCTCCCAGCGGGTGCCTTCCAGCTGTGGAGGACAAACAGGGTTCTGCTCAAATGGGATTTGACCTTTCCTTCTTCCAGAGCGCCACAGCTGCCCTCTATCTCACCAAATAAGCGTCACTGAGATCTTTCTTCCTTTCTTAATGTGGATTTATTGCGAAGAAGAGAGTCCATGAAATAGTTTTGAGTTCAAGAATATATTACTATCTAACTTGAAAAAAAAAACATATTTCACTCCGAGGATCTGCAAAAGGATGATTATGCATAGCCGAAATTTCAAAGTGTCCGTAGGTAGCTGGCATATTGGCTTCATAAAGGCAACACACAATACTAAAACAACAGTCATGACCCTTAATTATTATTGCTTCATAAAGGCATTACAGATTCATAAGATCTGAAAATATTTATTAAAGCACTTTCTACTGGGGTCATTAAGGGCAAGTTTCTTCAGATTTAACCTTGTAATACATCTGCTTTGTGCCAACATGGGTGCTAACTTTGTATGTTCTCAACGTTAATAAAATTTCAGCCAAAACCACACATGTGCAGCACAAAAAACAAATCCCACATCAATACAAATCTGCTGTCTCTTTAATTTAACTTTTAATTTCATTATCTTACAATAAAATACATATACGGATTAAATATTTTATATTTGAAAAACAGAAAACAAAGGGAATATGATTAGTTTCTAAAAATGAGGATGTTGAAAATGTTACCTTTCA